AGCCGGAGCTGACCACAAAGGGCACACGCGTCCCATCTCCCTGGGCGCACGGCGGTCCCACGACCATGTACGGGAGAGGTGGGAGGCCAGGGTCGCGGAGGGGTCCCGGTGGAAGGCGAGGAGGACCTCCCTGATCCTCTGCCCTCACACAGCTGCATCCACCACCTGCTTCCCCATCTTGGGTGTGGGGACCACAGGTGGGTGGGTGGCGGGCAGCCCCAACACACACACACACACACACACACACACACGCACACACGCACACAGGTACACTCGCACTCGCGTGGTAGAAGCGCCTGGTCTGGATGCCAGGAGCCCCGCTATGGCTGAAGGTCCCTGGAGTGCGCACGTGTGCACACACACACTCACACACATACACACACAGAGTGCCGGGCAACCCTGGTGTGCGTGCACACACACACACACAGGCACATGGTAGAAGCTCCTGGTCTGGACACACACACACACACACACACACACACACACACACACACCCGTGGCTAAAGGCAGTCCAGGTGCGTGGCAGACACTCGGAGGGGCCCCTGTTGCTCCCTGAGCCTCAAGCCCCGTAGCCTCGGGTCTGACCCCTCTGGACCTGGATCCCCCGCCCACCCCCCGCCACCCCATGCTCCAGCTCTGCCCCCAGCCAGCGCCTGCCTAGCTGGAGCCGGCCCACCCGCGCGAGCCCCGACAGCAGTGACCGCCATTCCTGCTGGGGGTCGGCGTCCACTCACTGACCGCAAAGTGTGGGTGTGTGGGTGAGGGCGATACGAGGTCTCGGACGCCAGAGCCACACACAGGCCACCTCCCACACTCTGGAGGGTCAGAGTGCACCCCAGGACCTACAGCCAGACCGTACAGGTGGGAAACGGCCCCAGCCCCGTCCCCAGAGAATGCAGGGTGCAGGGGGAGGGGTGCGGAGAAGGGAGGTGGCGGGAAGAGATGAAGGAAGTTGGGGAAGGGGAGCGGCCGGCCGGCCGTGGGGGCGCAGTCCCTGCAAGGCCCCTGTCCGTGTCCACAGGGACGGACGGCCCCTGTCCGTCTTCTGCCTCCAGACTCTGGATGGCCCTGGGGACAGTGGCCGCAGCCCTGGGAGCCCGGGAAGCTATTTCTGGCCCCGGGGAGGGCTCTGTGGCTATTTACCGCCCGCTATTCCTGGCGGCACGGCAACGTGGCTTTTTATAGTTGGCTGGTGGGCTGCGTTCCGTCAGCACCGAGACGCCGGCCCCTGGGAACAGGCCCCCAAGCCTCCCCAGGGGCGGGGGGGCTGGGCACACAGCCCTGAGTCTGGAGGCAGAAGACGGGGCTCAGAGAGGTTCCCTCCCCTGAGGGGAGGCACGGCGCTTCCTAGAAACAGGGGCAAGGACCTGAGCACTGGCTGGCGAGCACCTAGCCCTCCACCAGAGCAGGACCTGAGGGTCGCAGATGCAGCGGTGAGGCACAGCGGGTACAGTGACCAAGGCGCCCGCCTCCCTGGGGCCACCTGGGTTGGTCAGAACTAGCCCTCAGTCACTCGGCCGAGCGCCAGCACCTCACACCATCCTCTCTCCTGCCCCACGTGCAGACGACGCGCTTCCCACTGGGAAAACGGTTCCTGCAGGCAGGTGAGGCTCCATGCTGGCCTGCTGCGGTGTCCTCACCACAAGCAGTGGCCGAGGGCAACAGAGGCAGAGGCGAGGGCTGCTGGGGAAGGGGAGGCAGGCAGTCAGAGAGAGCTCGGCTTGTGTCGGGGGAAGGCAGGGAAGACTGCCTGGAGGAGGCCTCCCCACGCCGTGTCCAGACCATGGAATGGGGCGTGTGTGACAGGCATCAGCTCTGTGGTCCAGGAGCCAGCCCGGCCATGCAACTTGTGCCGGCAGGGGGCCATCCGCACCCACCTTGCCTGTGACACAGGCAGCCGTCCCAGCTGCCCCCGGGGCACATGGCACCCACCAGCACCTCTGCCGTCCGCCTCCACACCGCAGGCCCCACCACGTCACGGAGCCAGCGCACATGGGGGCTTCTTCCCAGACCCCCAACTGCCCGCTCAGAGGTGCTGTGGGCCTCCCCGTCCACGACCTCCCCTCCTAGGCCTCCCCTCCCGAGGTCTCCCTGTACCTGGCAGTCCTGCCCCCTCCCCATGTCCGTGGAGGGCTCAGCGGCCAAGCCTGCGTGCATGTGTGAGGCTGTGAGCTGGACAGACCCTCCCCCCCAAAAGCGGAGCGCAGTACTGGGGGCCCAGCACCACGCCCAGCGCCCTGTCCCCAGCCCCCAAGGACACGGGAGCCCTGAGCCGGGGGCGGGGACACAGCTAGGGGGGCCTTCTCAGCAGGGTACCTCCCCCAGATGAACCTGAAGCACTGGCCTTGGCGGGCAATGCCTTGGGCCTGAGGCCCGCACCCCCCTGGAGGGTTCTGGAGGCTGGGAGGCGGGGAGGGGGGAAGAAAGGAGTTAGTACGGGGGACGGGGTTCAGGCAGCGCTGGCTACACCTTCCTGTTCAGTCCCAACCCGGGTGCCCTGGGGGGGATTCCGTCTGTCCTGTCCCACCCTGGGCTCCCTGGGGGGGGTGTCCATCCGTCCTGTCCCACCCTGGACACGTCCTCGGGCAGCTCCCTGCACCTCTGCAGCAGCAGGAGGGGGTGGGGGTGCAGCCATGGGGCAGGGGCGCCCCTGAAGGTGGGAAGTCACTGGCCACCGCCTCCGCCCTGCCCACAGGAATCCAGCTGACCCTGGGAGGCCGTGCAGAGCCCACAAGAGGCGCGGGGGGACAAAGGTGACCCGGATGCCAGCCCAGGGCCCATGAGTTCCCCAAAGGCCCGCTGGGACGGCTCCCTACAGCGGGCCGGGCCAGGTCCTCGGGGGAGCCCCACTCCCCTGAACCCCAGTCCCACTCCAGGCAAACGCCCGCCCTGGGGGGGCACTGGGTGAGTCACAGGGGCCCTCTGGCAGGGAACACAGTGGGGACAGGGACTCGAGGTGGCGGCTGGCAGCGTTCAGAGATCAGAAGAAGGAGGGCTCCCCTCCTCAGACGCTCACTCGGCACTCTGGGGTGTGGCCACCCACCCGAGCCCAGCCAAGCCCCCTTCCGAGGGATGCTTGTGAGACGTGCCCCCCCCCCAACCCCGGCCACCTTGGGGCAGGGCAGAGGCTCGGGGACAGGTTGGGCGACACCCCCATGGCAGGGCTCCACGTCCTGCAGGAAACAAGGCACCAAGAGGCCGGTCAGATGCTGACATGTGGCACACAGACCTCCACAGGCCCCCATAGGACCGGGGACACACCTGTCCCCATGCTGACCCTGCAGAGGCTACATGACTGTCCCAGGCTGGGTCCCAACGAGGCATTCCCAGGGGGGCCGGGGGAGTGTCAAGGCCTCCTGAAAGCACACTCCCGGCAGGGTGAGGACCTGCCCTGTCTCGGGGCGCCGCTGGCACCTGTTATGGGGATGCCCAGGGGACTCGGACTGGACATTCCTGGCCCTGCTCTGGCGTGTGGAACAGCTCCGGACGCGGGGATTAACACGACACAGTTGTCCCCTCGGCTCCAACCTGCCCAGAGCAGCAGCCACAGACGTTTAGGGGTTTGGGGGTGTGGAATATGCCAGAAGCATCCACGCTGGGAGCACAGGATGGGACACTCGCTGGGCCGCAGCCCGGAGATGAGCCTCCCCGAGAAAACCGTGTGGCAAGTCCTCGGACCCCACAGACTCAGCAGGCCCCAGAGCGCGGCAGGCCCCTGAGAATGGACTCCGGACGGGCACAGTTTCACGCACAGATGAAACGCAGCAGGCTGGAGGAGCACTGGAGGGGAGCACCAGCTCTGCAGACGGCTCGGCTGGAGACGCGGCTCTGAACAACCGGTCTCGGCTGGCTCATTTCTCGCAGGCAGCATGGCCAACAGGAGAAACGGGCCAGGGGATACTGTGGCTGGGTTAACCTTGGAGGAACCGGACAAGACCTGCTCTATGCCACCCAGTTTCTTCCTTTTGTTAAAGCCCAACGAAACTGGGATGACTGTGTTGGCCCCCCCAATGCCCAAGTCAGTCAGACTCCTTCCTCTGATCCACAGGCTGAAATATTACATTGCCATCAAAAAGGACCGAGCAAGCCCAGGCATGACTCTGGGAGACTGGGGCGGGGGGACTTCTTGGCCTCAAGGGTTGGCTACTGTCACATAACAAGGGAAAAGGACTCGAGGGAGAGCTGGGCCCAGAGATGACCAGCGTCTGGCTTGAGAGGGGGATAGAGGGGGCTGCAGCAGACGGGGGGGAGGCCTGGGGGAACCTCCCAGACGCACTCAGGTGGCCAGGGTGGAGGGGTTGCCGTCCACTCCTCAAACCCCAAGGTCCGAGCATAAGGTCCCCCTTATGGAGGGGTGGCCGGGCCGAGTGGGGGCAGGGGCTGTGACCTGTTGCTGCTGCCTGGCCACGGCCCAGAGGTGAGGTGCTGGGCTCGGCCACACTGCAGGACGAGGGTCAGGGCCAAGGGGAGCGTGTGAGGGCAGGAGCCGGGCAGTGGCCTGCTGGGGTCTGGTCGGGAACCACTCGGGGGGGTGGGGGGGGGAAACATGGGCTTCTGGTGTGGGGGAGGGGCACAGGTGTGGGGGAGGATGAGGGGGAGGGTCTGGGTGGGGGTACTTGGGGGAGCAGAATCCAGACCCCAGAACTGCACTCCCCTGGGCTACAGGAGGCCTAGCTGACTTGGCTAAGCTTCTGGACCCCTGGGTTCCCCATGGGTCTCCACCCTGGGTGCCGGCCCCTCCCCTCCCCCACCCAGCAGCCCTGCCCCCAGCCAAGGACGCCCCTCACTGCCCTCAGCGGGGATCAAGGCCACACAAGGAGTGTCGCCAAGTGACTGGCACCAAGCCCCCCACCAGACCAGCCTGGGGGAATCAATGACCGATCACAGGGAGATGGAAGCACACGTCCCTCCCGATCTGAATGCCCCCCAACCCCCATCCACCACCTCCAGGAAAGAGTCCGCCCAGCCCGGAGCCCCCAGGAGGGTGGAGGAGGTGCTACCTTTCATGTACGCCTCGATCTTCCGGATGAGCTCGTAGGACTTGGAGCGGTCCAGCAGGGTCCTGATGGCAGGCAGGGGGTCCAGCACGATAGTCTCTGGGTGGGCGTCAATGTACTCCTGCGGGGGGAAAGCACAGGCCTTGGGGTCGGAAGGGGTGGCACCGCATGGGGTCTCGGGACGCTGCCCCACGGCCCCTCCAGGATCACGTGACTCCAGCCCAAACCCAGGGGCTTTCCCCGAGCCCCGGGACAGGGCGCAGGGAGACCAGGAGGGATGACCAACGTGGTGGCCAGAGGCGCACCCATCCCCCAGGTTGGGTGGTGGGTGGTTGGCAGGCGAAGGCAGGAAGGTCCGAGACAGGATCAGCCCCAGGTCCAGGGCTTCTGGGAAAGCGCAGGGGTGGGGCGGGGAGGGGCGGAGGGGGTGGGGCGAGAGGCAGGTGGGCACACTGAATCAGACACCCTCTCTTGCGGGGCTGGGCCAGTCACAGTGGGGGGGGGCACGTGGCCTGATCCGAGGGGGGTCCCCGCAGACGACCCCCCACACCCCAGACAGGATCCAGATGGTGGAAATCTACCCTGCACAGCACAGGGGAGGCCGTGAGGGTCCCAAGCAGAGGGACAGGGCCGGAGCGATAGCACAGCGGGAAGGGTGTTTGTTTGCCTTGCACGCGGCCGACGCGGGTTTGATCCCCAGCATCCCACAGGGTCCCCCGAGCACCGCCAGGAGTGATTCCTGAGTGCAGGAGCCACGAGGACCCCCTGAATATCACTGGCTGTGACTCAAAAAGGGGGGGGGGCGGGGAGGGGAAGAGCAGCCGGGCAGGCGGCAGGAGGGCCCTGGGACCGGGAGGGGCGGCTGGGAATGCCCAGTTCAGCCTGTCTCCAAGGGAGAAGCGGCCACAGATGACTCCCCCTTGGCCTCTGGGCAAACACTTCCGGGGCCACTGCCTTGACCCCCAGGGCAGGTGCCAGCCCCATGCGCCCCCTCCCGTAGGTGCGGGCCAGCAGGAAGCCAGAGTGCGGCTTTCCTAGGAAGCCTCGGCAGGGCTGAGGAAGCCCCATTCTTCGCAGCCTCTATTTCAGGGAAGCGGCTCTGGCTCCTGGTAATCACCGAGGCCAGCGATGCCTATCTCCTCCCGGAAGCCGGGCACAGCGAGCCCGCTGGTCACCGGCCCGTCTTCCAGAACATCGGGGAGCTGGAGGGAGGGGGTCGTAGAAACAGGGCACCCCCACGGGCTGCAGCAAAGGCTCTGCCGAGGGGGGGGCCGCCCCCAGCACTCCACAGGGCCCTGCCCAGACTGGCCCCCGAGCCAAAAATAAATGGGACATCTCCATCTTCCCACCTGGGCACCCAGGAAGTCCTCAGGGTCAGCCCGACCTCTCCTCGGACACCTGCTGCAAGCCCTGATTCCTCAGTCAGCCTCAGTACCCGCCCTGGCCGGTACCCCTCCTCTGCCCCATCTGGCGGCGGGCCCAGCCGTCACTCTGGTATGGGACCCGGTCAGTTCCATGCCAGAGGCTCGGGGCATCCCCCAAATCTCTCCCCATATCCCCAGCTCCCAGGCCGTCCATACTCCTGGACGCTGTGGGGTCGGAAAGACCAGCACTGAGCAGACCTCACAGCCCCTCCTGCCGAGGAAGCAGTGTGGTGGGGGATCACGAGAGAGACAGACAGACAGACAGACAGATAGGGTCCCACTCCCATGAAGAAGCCCCAGCGCCCCTGTGACAACCCCCAGGATCACCATGGACACACCCCCCCCCCCAAGGGATTCTCTGCGGCTGTTTCCTCATCTGTGACTGGAGAGTCGAAACCGGCAGGCCCAAGGCGGCTGACTTCCAGGCCACTCCTGGGGGCTGCCCCGAGTCCGCCAGGCAGCCAGTGGCACAGCGGGGAAAAACGGGCACGCGCTCAGCCTCCCTGCAGAACGGAAGCGGGGCCAGAGAGATGGTCCAGGAGCTAAACATCTGCATGCCATGTGGCCCCTTCTACCTACCACAGATCAATCCTCGGCAAGGCATATGGTTCCCCTGAGCCCTGCCAGGAGTCAGCCCTGAGCATAGAACCAGGAGTCATCCCCAAACACAGAGCCAGGAGTCAGCCCCAAGCACTGAGCCAGGAGTCATCCCTGAACACAGAGCCAAGAGTCAGCCCTGGAACATAGAGCTAGGAGTCAGTCCCGAGCACAGAGCCAGGAGTCAGCCCTGGAACATAGAGCTAGGAGTCAGTCCCGAGCACAGAGCCAGGAGTCAGCCCCGAGCACTGCTCAAGCTCCCCCCAGCCCTACACCCAAGGGGAGAAAACCCCACCAATGGAAGCCTAATGAGAGACGTGGGTGCTGCCCTGTGTGGGCGCGATGCCCCCAATGACAGGGGGACAGAAACACGGCCGGGGGGCCTCCTTTCCCTCAGGCATCCCCACAAGCCCCCACATGAAGCAAGTCCCCGTGGCCCCCCATGTGTGTTCAGGGAGCTGAGGGCCACTGAGCAGCTCCTGACCCTGATGTTCTGTCCCAGGACAGGGACCTTTCGAGAGAACTGGGACCCGTCACCACAGGCGCTCAGGCTAAACTCACGGCGGGCCGAGACGGAGGCAGACAGAGAAATGCCTGGCAGGTCGACGCCAATGAGCCCTGGGCCGGCAGGAAAGCACCCTACTAGCAGAAGAATTATTCCCCCACGCGCTCTCTGGGGACAAGGACAAGGAGGACAGCGCTGGCTTCCCAACGGCCCTGTACCCACCGCCTGCTTCCTTCCGGCCTTCCCTCAGCGCATTCCTCAGTGCGCTCAGTATCTGCTCATTGGGGAGGCCGAGTGCCTGCCCTGAGGGTCCCCGTGCAGAGAAAAGGCCCAGCTGGGGGCCAGAGAGGCAGCACAGCCGGCAGCGTGGCACCTTCCATGGGGCTGACCCAGGTTCGATCCCCGGGAACTGCATGGGGTCCCCCGAGCACTGTGAGGAGCGAGCCCTGAGCAGGAACGGGGAGTGAGCCCTGGGCGCCATCAGTGCTGACCCCTTGGGGGGACCAAAAAACACAATTTGAGGGGCTGGAGCGATAGCACAGCGGGTAGGGCGTTTGCCTTGCACGCAGCCAACCCAGGTTCGATCCTCGGCATCCCATAGGGTCCCCTGAGTACTGCCAGGAGTAATTCCTGAGCTCAGAGCCAGGAGGAACCCCTGAGCATCGCTGGGTGTGACCCCTCCCAAAAAACAAACAAAAAAAAGTCTCAAGGATCTGGCTTCCATATCACCCAGCAACTCCACTCCTGGGAATACACCCGGGAGCCCCAAAGCATGAATCAGAAACGACCTTCTGCACTCCTGAGCTCGTGGCAGCGCTGTGGACAACAGCCAAAGCACGGGAACCACTCGAACGCCCACAAACAGATGACTAGATAAAGAAATAAGAAAGAACGCACAATGGAATACTATGCACGTGTACACATATGCCAATGGAGTACTATGTAGCCTTCAAAGAGAATGAAGCCATGCAACTTGCTGGGAATCTGGAGAGTACGGTGTTGAGTGCTATGGCCGGAGGGGGAGGAACAGAGGCAACATTGTAGCACGGTCTCTCTCAGCCCTGCGAGATGAAAAAACCTCAGAGCGAAAAGCAAATGCCCAACGGCAACAGAAACGAAGAGCAGAACTGGTCTCCGGTAGGAGGCTTGGCACCGGGGCAGGGGGCCGGGGGAGAGTTAGCGAACGGAACACAAGGACGATGGGGGCAGGGAATGTGCCTGTCACAGAGGCGGGCTGGGGACGGGAGGGAAACTGGGGACATTGGTGGAGGGTAGCGGGCACTGGTGTAGGGACGCTGTTGGGACAATGTATGCCTGAGACCATCAAAACTATCTTTCCAGCTTTGCAATTCACCGTGATTCAACTGAAAGAAAAAAGAAAAACAAAACCAGGCTTTTCGGGGGCCAGAATGATAGTACAGTGGGTAGGGCATCTGCTTTGCACGTGGCCAACCCAGGATTGATCCTCGGCATTCCATATGGTCCCCTAACTGGGGCCGTAGATATAGAACAGCGAATAAGGTGTTTGCCTTGCACGCAGCCAACCCAGGTTCGATTCCCAGCATCCCGTATGGTCCCCCAGAACCGCCAGGAGTAATTCCTGAGTGAAGAGCCAGGAGTAAACCCTGAGCATTGCCGGGTGTGACCCAAAAATGGCCCCAAAAAATCATCATGCCTTTCTCCTTACTGTCACTGTCCTCCCATTGTTCATCAATGTGCTCGAGCAGGCCCAGTAACGTCTCCACTGGGAGACTTGTTACTGTGTTTGGCATATCGAATACGTCACGGGGAGCTTGCCAGGCTTTGCCATGCAGGCGAGATACTCTCGGTAGCTTGCCGGGCTCTCCCAGAGGAATCGAACCTAGGTCGCCCAGGTCGGCCGTGTGCAAGACAAACACCCTACCTGCTGGTCTCACACTTCCTCTGGCTGTAAGAACCCTAAGTCAGGTCTGAGTAAAGAACTCCAACGACAAGGTGCACGGGAGGAAACGATCAATGGCAGGAATCCACACGACTGTGCACGAGACTGCGGTTTCCTAGCTCTGGACGCCCACGTCACAGTCAAGTAAAGCAAGACAAGGGGCCTGAGCGACAGTACAGAGGGTAGGGCACTTGCCTTGCACATTGGTTGACCCGGATTCAATCCCCGGCACCCCACAGGGTCCCCCAAGCACCGCCAGGAGTAATTCCTGAGTGCAGAGCCAGGAGTAACCCCTGAGCATCACCAGGTCTAGCTGAAAAGTCAGAAAGGAAGAAGGGAGGGAGGGAGGGAGGGAGGGAAGGCGGGACAGAGGGAAGGAAGGCAAGAGAAAGAAAAGAAAAGGAGATGAAGGGGCAAGGGCAAGGGCAAGGCCACGCTCCTCAGAGCTGGTTCTCTGGGTGGGTCTGTGGCTGGAGTGGACACAGTCGCCCACTGGTCAGACAAGCTCGGGGCTGGAGGAACGCAGACGGGCAGGCAGTCCTGGGAACAGCATCGTCCTGCCAGGACAAAGACTGTCCCTGCTGTGGGAAACAGAGCCCAGGGCAACGACTGTCCCAAGCCCTGCCCTGCCAACCCAGGCCTGCCCCGGAGGCAGCTACAGCTCCAGAGCTGGG